TGTGTGTGTGTGTGTGTGTGTGTGTGTGTGTGTGTGTGTGTGTGTGTGTAGACTTCTGCCTGCAGGCCAGAAGAGGGCACTAGACCTCACTATTGATAGTTATGAGCCACCATGTGGTTGCTGGGAGTTGAACTCAGGATCTTTGGAAGAACAGCCAGTGTTCTTAACCTCTGAGCCACCTCTGCAGCCCGACACCAGACACCTTAATAATCAATATTCCTTAACATCTTTTGTGAGGTCCTCGACATTCGGCAGCTTTGCTGGTTCCCAAAGCCAGTTTTGAGGACACCAAGCTAATTTATATTTGATGCTAAGATTCTCAGTACTCTAACACACTCTCACAGCCAGTAGGCTTGCTTGTAAGCCTGCGTGTCTTGTCAACAAATTAAAGGGAAGATATACCTGGTTTAGAGGCCTAGGCTACATGTCGCGTTCAAGGCCAGCCCGGGCAAATAAAAATCTGAAAGTAGAGCTGAGACTGTGGCTCAAATATGTGCAAGTGCTAGGTTCAATCCCCTACAATGAGAGAAGAGAGAAAAAGGGAGAGAGGAAAAGGGAGAGGGAGAGAGGGAAGTAACAGGGACATAAAGAAGGATTCACTATGTAGCTCAGGAACTCACTGTGATCTACTTGCCTCAGCCTCCCAAGTGCTAAGAATCACAATCACAGTCTACCAATTCCACCAGGAAGTTTGTTTGATAGTACTCTTTGACAATCACATGAGTCCAATCCACACACTCCAAGTTAGCTCTGAATATGGTTGGATATGTTACAATATATTTTTGTGTAACCCACTGTGCAGGTCTTGTGTGTGTGTGTGTGTTTTTTTTTTTAAAGAATGAAAATCCCAAATGTTCAATTTTACCAGTAAAGGCTCAAGAGCCAGATGCTAGTGTGAAAACCTGCTAGCTCAGAGAGCAGCCAGAGAAAGCACCCAGCTGACCTTCCTACTCAGCTCATGTTCCAAAGGAAAAAGCCAAAAAAGCCAAAAGCTGAAAGCCAATGTGCAAAAAAGCCAAAGAACTAAAGTGCCTTCTTCTTCACACCGTCTTAAATACCCTTCAACTCAATGTCCCTCCTTTCTACTTAATCCCTGACAGCTGGTTTTTGCTCCACCTCTTGACCAAGGGCTAACTTTATTAAATTCTATGTACAGAAAGCTCTTGGATTAAATGTGTGTGCTAGGGCTGAGCCACACCACAATCACCTGTTTACAATTAGCATAAAGCAGTTAGGTTAAAGGTGTGTTTTAGGGCTGAACCAAACCAAACAAAAGTGGTTTTTACAGTTCACAATTTCAGTGTTCACAATGGGATCAAATTATCCAGCAACACTCATACTTAAACTTTGTAGTTGGCCACACTTTGCAATATCTGAAGGTTGGACATGCGCGAAAGGGTTCTCGCCCTCCAGGGTTCATTCTTTGAACAGCTGAGATGGAAGAGATGAGGCCCATTAAGCAAATTACTCATTACTTGCTGTCCAGGCCAGTCATTTCACAACACTGTTTTCTTGCGAATAGAAATATGGGAAGGTAAAGCCGGACCTGAACAGCACCTTCTTTCATGCTGCATTAATAAAGAAAGCTTTGCTTATACTTACAAACATTGTAAATTAGCCCTTCGTGTTCCATCACTCAGGTTTTTGCACCCTGTAGCAAGGGTAACATAAACAAAAAGTGTGCTATTCTTTTCCCAAATAGGAGGAAGGCCCTGTAAGGGGAGGGGGGACATAAGAGCCAGACTATGCAAGCTTTTTTTGGAAAAGTGTTTATAGGCCAGCTGTAGCCACAGACATGGATTCCCTTGGAATGAGAACAGTGTGGGACTGAACCAAGCTGAAAGGATTGTATACCTGAATTACCTCCTGCCTGGGGTGTGAGCTAGGGCCCAAATCAAATTTGAAAAGATTAGGAAAAGAGGTGCTGGGGAGGGGCCAGCAAATAAGACAGCCTGCAGGTTATGGTTCATGGATGACTTGGTGTGGATTTCAAATTACTGTTTGCTATTGGTCACCTTCAAATTTTGTGTCACTAATAGTGGGAAACTTGGTCTGAGGGCTAGGATAAGTTTGGTAATATTTCAGCTGACTTGCTGGTTTACCTGATGCCATTTATGCACCTTTTTAAATTTTTTTTAAACAGGGTTTCTCTGTGTAGTGTTCTGCCCAGTTCACGAACCCCAAAAGACCAGGAATAAACATACTCGCTGTAAATATATGAGGTTCTTTTTATTATAAATCTTTACAAGCTGCAGCTTGGGCTCACCCCTCCCCCCACCACCGAAGCAGTGAGAGCCCCCGTGCCCAGGTTAGTTGGGTAGTTTAAAGATTCTGGTCCATCCCAGCATGCCGAAGGCAGGGGCGATTCCTGCCTGGCAAGCATCTATTGGTCAAAATGCTCTATTTTTAATTGATTGGCTATAGGAAGGACCCCAGACCATTAATGACCTGGTGTCCCTCCCTAGGGGGATGGGCCAGGCAACTGTATCTAACAACTGTATCTCTAGTGGGTGGGGAAAGAATGCAGTAAGACAGTCCTTCCCCTCAGGGTATTACTGGACTTCCCCACCCACCTAGTTCAGGCCTTAATTAATAATAGCTGCTAATTTTTAATCTTTTGGTCTCTCAGTAGCACTGGCTGTTCTGGATGTGCTTTGTAGACCAAGCTGGCCTCGAACTCACAGAAATACACCTGCTTCTGCTGGGAATAAGGGTGGGTGCCATCACAACTGCCCAACCTTATATGTACTTTCTTGCAAGATTTTTCTTTTTTTTTTTTTCCCCTCCCTTTGGTTGGTTTGGGTTTGTTGAGTGTTTGTTGTTTGTTTCAGTTTTGGAATTTTTTTGAAACAGGGTTCTATTGTATGGCTCTGGCTGGCCTGGAACTCTCAATATAGCCCAAGATAGCCCGCAGCCTCAGCCTCCCGAGTGCCAGACACGTGAGACACTGTGTCCAATTGTATCTCTTAAAACTGTCTTTGCTTGTATCTAAGTCTGTGAGTTTCTCAGACTAGATATTGCTAGTAGTAGATTAGATGTGTCAAAAGAGGAGCAGAAACTGATTTCCCAGTGGGACAGAAATCATATCCACATCAGAACTGATGGAGAAGGTGCTCATGAGGGAGTTTGCAAACATGGTCTTCAATTGGTTTCCATTTATTAAGCAGAGGGACTCTAATCAAAAAGCATCCCTATTATTTATGTAGATCTGAACTACAAGAATATCTTAGAAAATCTTTTCTTAGACTCACCACAAGTATTTGCTGTGTAGATTCAGCCCTGTGAAGTTAGAAAGGTTTCAGAGATCATGTGGGCAGGTGCATCACAAGACTTCTGCTATGACCTGTGTGGTCCATTGTAGAGTGGACTTCTGAAACTTCTATGCAAAGACTAGGCAGAAGCAGCCCATCAAGCTTCAGTTCCAAGGCTTCTTACCCAGGAGCTATAACACAAACTGTAACATAGACATTTGACAGTTAGACATCACTGCCCTTATCACTGACGCTCTGGTTTCTTTGGTTTTTGCAAGGGCTGTATTTGTGTGTGCACATGTGTTCATATGTATATAGGACATGTTTGTGTGTGGTACATGTCTGCACATATGTACACATGAGTGTGCCGTTGTGTAAACCTCAGGCTGATGTCAGGAGTCTTCCTCAATTACTCTCCACCTTATTCATGGATGAAGGATTGCTCAGTTGAACACTCGCTTGCTTCTCACCCACAAAACAGTCTCTTCAGCCTTCTCATCATTGTTTGTTGGAGCATGCCATGCGCAGAAGACAGTGTTCTTCAGTGTTCCATCCCTTCTTTCTGATCTAATGTGCTTTCTACGATTCTCCGCTGCTTTGGAGGAAGTGACAAAGATGTCCCATTTAGGGCTGAGCACTAACCAGTCAAGCCACTTACTCTCAGCACCTAGTCAGCTTCAAGTTTATGCCTTGATTTGCTGTCAAGTTTATGCCTTTCTTCTGCCATGGCCAACTTTCTATTTAGAAATTCCCATGATGATTTTCTTTTGGAGGGGGCGCTATGCATGTATGCATACATCTGGAAGCCAGAGGTCAATCTCGGGTGCCATCCGTATTGGGTTTTGTTTTTGTTTTTTAAGATTTATTTTTATTTCATGTGTATGAGTGTTTGTATGCATGTGTATAAGTGTGCCATGTGCATACAGGGCTCATGGATACCAGAAGAGGGTATTGGATCCCCTGCAACTAGAATTACAGACAGTTGTTTATGTCCGTAAGGGTAATGGGAACCAAACCTAGGTCTTCTGTAAGAGCAGCAAGTTCTCTTAACTACTAAGCCATCTTTCTAGCCCCCATACTATTTTTTGAGGCATTTTTCTATTTTCTTGTCTATCTACTTTAATTTTCACTTATTATGTCTGTGTTTCCCCCTTACAATTTTGAAAATACTTAATGACTATTTTAAGTCCCTGTCTGTTGTTCCCATCCTCTGTGACATTCTGGAGTCAATGGCTCCTGTTTTCTTCCCTTCCTCATCTGTCTAGTAATGTCTGTGTGTGTGCAGGACATCACAGTTGATGTTTTGTAGGGAGTCTAGAATGCCCTATGGTAGGTTCTATCCCTGAAGCCTGTTGACTCCTTGGGGTTCCACTTCGATCTCAGTGGGTTTGATCTCATGGTTCTTTTCAGCAGGTTGATTTCAGCTTTGTTCTTTGTCGGTGTCTGGCATTAAAATAGCAGTTGTGTGCTCTTGCTACTCCCATGTTTAATCTCTACAGACACCTTCTTTCCTTTGTGTTTTCTCTTTAGGAACTTCCCCCCAAAGCTATTTCCTCATTCAAGGCCCCCGACCTGCAGGAAGACACAGCACCCCTTGAGGAGGAGACTATGAGACAGGGATCTCAACCAGGTGTCTCCGGTGTGATTGTGAAAATGCCTCAACGGGCTCTTCCCTCCTGAAAAAAAAAAAAAAAAAAAATGGCCTGCAAGAGGAGCCCTCACTGCAGCTCAGATTTCTGAGACTGGGAAGGATGTCTAAAGATGCTCTCTTCTGCCATAAATACCTTTCATCGTATGAAGTTTGAATCAGCGATTGGAACAAGAATTAAATACAATAGCATCAAATTGATGAGGCTCTTTCCTCCCAACATTACCTAGTGAAAACACACTACCCTCTTGCGCTCATCTTAACTCAAGCTGTGCTTTGCAGTCAGGGTTCTGGTAATCCTTACATATGTCCTAGAGGCTGCCCGAGGCATTAATAATGGCTGTTTTCTTCACTCTTATGTCACCACTTCAGAAAATGTTTCCATTTTTTTTATTGTGATAAAGCACATGACATAAAATTTAATTTAGTGACCTTAACACATTCATATTGTACAATTATTCCAACCGCCCAGCATCCAAACTCTTCCTTTACCTTGTAAGACTGAAACTCTGCCCCATTAAATAATAACTATTTCCCATCCCCCAAGCCCTAGAATCCATCATTCTATGTTGTCTGGGTTGTTTTGACTATTCCAAGTACCTCACATAAATGGAATCATATATCAGGGGAGGCGTGTGCAGGCATGCATGTGTATGTGTGTGTCTGTGTACCTGTGTGTGTCTGTGTGTCTGAGTCTGATTTCACTTAGAATTCTGTAGCTATCCTTGATGTTCTAATGGCTGAGATTTAGAGCTTTTATTTGTCATACTATGTCCTCAGAGTCACTCATGCTATAACATGGATCAGAATTTCCTTCCTTCTTAAAGCTGATCAACATTCTACCCTAATATGGAATGCATAGAATGTAAATATTTAATCATGCATTGTGGTGCCTTGTGTATGGGAGAAACAAAAAGGAAACTGAAGGGGATTCATTGCTGACAAAATAAAAAGACTAGGAATGTGGGTCATTCAAGAAGGTTACCCATGCTTTTTGCTTGGGTCCCAGGAGTAGTTTTTCCTTCAGTATAGGATAGAAGAAAGTATGATGTGTTGAGCATATGGTCCTATGAAAGAGACAGGCATGGGAACACCACAAAAGATAACAGCCCTGAGATATAGTCCCAACCCCAACCCCAAGAAAGATCAAAGACTCCAGCCCAGGCTTCTCTGTAAGATGCTAGAGCACGATGAAGAATTTCTGTTCACCTGAAGGAGCCTCAGGATGGGGGGGGGGAGGAAGAGAGAGGGAGGAAGAGAGAAAGGGTACCTATGTAATATAATTATAAATGTGTGTGTATATATATGTATATATATATTATATTTATATATATGTATATTGTATGTGTATATGTGTGTGATGCATGAACCACAGCACACATGTAGCTATCAGAAAACAACTTTCAGGTTCTCCCATTTTACCATGTGGGATCTAGGGATGGAACTCAGGTTGTCAGGTTGTCTTGGGAAGCACTTTTACCATACTAAACCATCTCACAGATCCATTCTTAGATATGGTTCTGCCAAACATAATTTGGAATTGTATAATAGAATTCTGATAAAAGTGTGGCATTTTTTACAAATAATTACAAATCCTATATACACTCTATTTCAAAGTAATAATTTCCATTGACCACCGTTTTGTATGGTTCTTACCCTTGCAAATGATAAAGAAAACTACTGTGAGATTATCCTAGAAAAACATTACATTTTGCTTTTAGTTTTATTTATGCTAATTGAAGCAAAACAAAACAAAATGGTACTGCTTGGTGGTAGTGCAAAGCCAAGTTTGAGTTACAATGATCTTATGAATAGTCCTCAATATGATTTTCAAGCTATGCCTTCTGTGCTTGATAGTGTTATGTCAACATGACTCAAGCTAGAGTTATCTAAAAAGAGGGAACCCCCAATTGAGAAAATGACTCCATAACATCCAGCTGATGGGCAGGACCTAGCTTATTTTAGGTGGTCCCATCCCTGGGCTGGTGGTCCCAGGTTCTATAAGAAAGCAGGTTGGGCACCTCAGCATTGCCTCTGCATCACTTCCTGCCTCCAGATTCCTACTTTGTTTGAGTTTCTGTCCTGAACTACCTTCGATAATGAACAGTAATATGAAAATGTATGCCAAATAAGCTCTTTCTTCCCCAAGTTGCTTTGGTCATGACATTTCATCATATCAATAGAAAGCCTAAGACACCTTCCATTAGTAAGCTACCTGTAGAACTAGCATTCAAGGACCAGCAGGTATGTTCAGCCTCTAGGAGTAAGAACCAGGGTTACACTGGGACATCTAGGAGTTAGAACAGGTCTACTGTCTTAATACAAAAGACTGGGAATATTTACTTTCTTTCACTGAGTAACAAATACACACAACCTAGCAGCTTAGGACTATATACATTGGGGTTTCTTAGGTGATAGGACCAAGGAGTTTACAGAGTCTTGAGATGGAACTGTAATGTCGTACATAGCAACCATCCTACAGGAGACTTGAGGTTCCACTTCTCACACTTACCCTTTTCTTCTTTTTGAGATAGGATCTGATGTATCACCAGATGAACTTGAACTCACTGTGCAAAGAAGATGATCTTAAACTGTTTATACTCTTGCTTCCACCTACTGAATGCTTTGCATGAACCACTGTAACCATTTTTTGAAGTGCTAAGGAATCAAACCCAGGGCTTCATGCATACTGAGCATACTGACTGAGCTGTCCCTAGCCCAGTAATTTCACTTGAACTCAAAGTCAATTGATTATAGCTCAGTCATGGTCATGGTACCCCGTGCTGTTCACCAGCTCTGCACACATACCTTAAATACAGACATACACCAGGGAGTAAGAACCCCAAGGCCATCTCAGAGTTCTTCACTAAACAGGAAGCTTTTCATAAAGCAAAGGGCTATGACTATGAGTGTAAACTAGTACATGAGGAATTCAGTGACCAGAGTCAGTGACACTTATGCACTGGAGGAGCTTTCACTGAGCAATGATGATCAAAGTCCCAGTGAGCTGAAGTATGAATAGATGGATGGAGAAGGGAGATTGGACCAGCAGAGCACCCTGGGGAAAATCACCCAAAAACAAAGAGCAGATGGATATACACACTGGGAAAAACTGGGAACTCACTCAGTGCAGGCTGCTTGGGAGACTATGAAATGGAAATAAGGAGAGCCCAGTCTGAGGTTGGAAAAGCTAAATTCCCACAGAACTGCATGAAGCTTTTTACTGAGAAATGTTGCTACCTTGTGAGCTTCAAGAATAAAAACTAATTTTTCCAACCCATGCTACTTATTAACCAGGTATTCAAGTTAAAATATTACCTTTACATTCCTGGTTAAAGTTTAGAGATTATAATTCAGCCTCCTCACTCTGTAATGTTGCCAAAGATCTATCAACTAGCATGTGGTACCCATCCTTAAAGTCTGATTTACTTGAAATGGTATGCAGAGACCCTTTTTAACTTTTTATTAGAATACACTAATTATCACAAGAATGGGTTTCATTATGACATTTTCATAATGTATTTTGACTGTATTTATCTCCTGTTACGCCATTTTACCTCCTCCAACTCCAGCTGATTCCCTTCCTCTTTCCAACTAGTCCCCTCTACTTTCTATAAAAAATATTCTATAAAAAGTATTCTGCAGAGAGTTTTGGTGTGTGTGGGGGTGCATGTATTCTGATAGAATTTATCTATATAGCTTGGGCTGGCCTCAGACTATCTTTCTGCCTCAACTGTTTAAGTGCTCCACAACTGACTTAGCTAATATTAATGGTGAAACACAGTAGATTTCTCATTAAAATAATGAGCAAGGGAATGATATCCCTTCTCACCACTCCTTTTCAATATCATTGCTGAAATTATAGCTATTGCAACAAAATAAAATAGAGACAGATGTTATTGTAAGACCTAGGGTCTCACAGCTCAGGAGTTCAAGATCGTGCCCTTCCCAGAAACTCCCCCAGACCAAGACTCATTGCAAAAGCAAGAGGTTTATTAACCATCGCACAATGGGGTCACCCCTGCCGGTCAGCAAAGAGTGGCACCCGGAGACAAAGGCCTTTAGGTTTTTAAAAGAAAAATTTCAGGAGATTTGAAGTTGCAGTCTTGGCAATTTAGGATTGGATGAGGAAGCTATAAAGTAAGATAATTGGTTAGTCTTAGGTGCTCAAGCTTGGCCAGTCCTGCCAAGTGTGGATGCAGCTGCAATTGAAGGTGGGAGTGGTTAGCTCATCCTTGAAGATTAGGGGCTGCAGACTTTTGGCTGGAGGTCAAAAGCTACTCAGAAGAAGTCTAGGTTCGTTGCTAAGAAACGCTATCTCAAAGACAAAGGTCTGGTCCTTCTTTTGCTAAGTGAAGGTCATTGCTTGCTTGCCTTTTTTTCTATCTGTCCTCACAGATAGGGTCACATTTTTCCATTCTCTGGAAAGGTACTAAGAGGCTTTAGCTTAACCTGAACCTAAAGCTCAAAACTATAGGCTTTAGAAGACATACAGGTTACAAAGTTAGTCTAACCCTTTCATTATCTGAACATGTGTTTACAAAGTTGAGGGAGAAGGATCTTGAATTTGAGACCAGCTTAAGTTATATGGTGAGTTCCAGGCCAGCCTGAGCTACATAGAGAGTAAGCTGTCTCTGGATAGCCATTTATTTGCACTATGATGATAGACTCTCTTTTCTCAAAGAGGATTTTAAAAGTCTCCCCAGATCTGGGTGACCCCAGGTCTTGTAAGGAGTGTCACATAGCCCTCAGGGAAGATAACAGGCCAGACCCTTCCCTGATAAGGAAATTGCTCTAGCAAGCATCTATGAATCCTAGAAATGCCCCACCCTGTTAAGAATCTTAGTCTAGCAGTGACCTTCAATTATTCTTGGAGATCCCCCACACCCACCATAAGATAATTAAGTAACACATTTTCCTTCTTGTAATAGGACCATTAAACATCCCTGACTCCCAGAGCCCAGGGAATCAGACACATTCACCCTCGAAATCACCCCCTCTGCCCAGGGTTTATATTGCCCTTGATTACACAAATAAAGGACATCTCAAGGGGCCTGCTCTCCTTCCCACTGGACCTGGGACTCACTAGGCCTGGGGCTCACCAGACCTGTGTCTTGGCTGCAAGCCGACCAGGCATGGGCCTTGGCCCACACCTCTGCTGTGCCCAGCACAGCAGCTTGACCAAGAAGAGCTCTAACATGTTGGTATTGCCATAGGCTTTAGATCATTGAAGTTTCCATTGCCACCAGTAATCTCATGCTAAAAGACCTAAACTGTAACACTCTGTGGAAAACCTTTTCCACACCCCAGTTTAATGCATTTGGACCTCATCCTAAGGTGCTCTAGGTGTCCCTGAGAGAAACAGAACCCCCATTCTCTGAGCTCCAGGACCCCAGCCAAGATGCAGGGCCCCGCCAAACAGAGAACAACACAAAACAAAACAAAACAAAATATGTTTTTGGAAATCTACAAAGAAAAAAAAAAAACATTAGACTAGATTTATTATTAAAGAGAGAAAACAATGTAGCCTCCATGTAGCTGTTTGTAATATCTCCAGTAACGGCATAGCCATGTCCTTTATGGTC